CGCAAATGTTGCTTTGTTTACCCAATTAAGAACAGGCGAATCGTGTACCAAACCAAAAGTACGTTACCAAAAGTAACAGAAGATTACTGTACACGTTTAGATGTCCTACAGATATCCACGTGTTCTTCTGTGTTGGTGTTTCACCTCTAGATCTCAGAAATGGACGGAAGTTTTAGAGACCACGCATTGCTGGAGGGCCAAATTTTGGAAACCCGTACACATGCCGTCAGGTAGATTAGTGTTTCATGGCAGATCACCATAGCTATAAGAGTTTACTGACAAAAACTAGGTGATACTATACTTAAAAATGCCAAAAGAAATCCTGGATGTAGTGAACATTATGTATGTCTTAGAGTAATACAAGCAGCTAACGAAGAAGTGGCCCAAGCCTTCAAACCTCAATCCGCCATCAAGTCTACAGAAACTGTTTTTGTAGTATTCTTCTCGCTTAGATAGACAGTAGTCATATGCCTTGCGCTAATGAAGCAGTCACTAACCTAAATTAATCGAAAACAATTAATGAAGACCTTTATTGTACACACATACTAGCCTCTACCAGACACCGCGGATCGCTGGAAAAATAGTAGAAATTGGCCGAAATAAAGGGATAGTATACCAGAGAAGATCCAGGGCCATAGAAGCTCCAATTTGCGACTTGTTTGTATGAATATTCTATCTGTATGTTTTATATGGGCGAGTCATGCCTGAAATCTGAATGCTGAATAAAGAAAGACAATCTCATTTCCTTCCGAGCATAACTTGCCTACCAAAAATCTTGAACATTCATCCATGGCATCAAGAGTTATGTCGCATAAATCCACAATCATAAACCGAATGCACAACCTTCTGGCGAAGGTAAATGCTTATTTCAGATGACCCGGCCCAGGCTGCAAGTGTACGGGTGCAAAACTGATTGGTCCTCAGCGCGCTCCGTGATTGGTTCATTTCCTCATGACGTCACGACCAGCTGGGGCCATGTGACTTGTGCGAACCAAAAATAACAACAAAGAACAGAGAGGGCTAGATCATCTTCTTGGTACGCAGTAGGTTATAAGGCTGACGTGTCTTAATTGGGTTTTTCATCGGGTTATAGTCCACGCTGAGTCATTTCTCACGAGCCTGTGCTTTCGGGAACATCGTGAGGGAACTGTCAGCGAACACAGAGGCCGATCGGCCGGGAAATAAGGCGGGAACATCGGAGGTAAGTCCGCGCATATTTTGTCGTGACGCAACGCTGGTCGCCATGCAATGCTGTGCATGCATGCATGTGCTGCTGCAGTGTGTTGCAGCCAAGAAAAATAAGCCAAATTGTGCTCTTGAATATTTTGTGAAACATAGGGCACGATCGAAGTAATCGAAAAAAAACTTGTCTCTTTCGCAACAGCTGTGTTCAAGTCGTTAAAAAATGTAAACAAGAATTTTTTTTATTGTAGTTAGCCACAGTCGTCAGTTCATAAACAAGCCCACGCGATTAATTTTTGTGATATTCTTTTGCAATAGATATGCAACACTGTATTCAAGATTTGGGGTCAAGAAAGAGCTAAAATAGGACCTTATAAGTTCGTGTAAGCTAGTCCCTGGGGTCGCACCAACCCAAATAACTATTCCTCTTTTAGTCAGTCTGCATGATACATGTACTACATACTGGCACACACAACTCTACTATGATTGATAGGTGACGTCATAGATATGACCCATGTCAGAACCAGACAGGCTTCTGACCAATCAGCTGTTGTGATGACCAGTTGTGTGATATTGATATGTTTTTATTGCCCGTGGGGTCATTAGATGATGACGTCAATCCAGTAAGGTCATGATCAATGTCTTCTCCCAACTTAGAAAGCCATCTGTGCAAAGTTATTTTCAATGTTGAAAATGCCTGCACGGATTTGGTGACTGTGTTAGTGTGATATGTATATACTAATGTAGAGAGAACTTAATTGCATGACATGTACATGGTACAATGTATGGCAAAAGAAACAAACTAATGAACATATTACAGAAAAAAAGGTACATGTATATGATGCATCTTATGATACATCCTTATTAGTAAAACAACAAGGGCTTGTCTTTGATATAGTGTTACAATTGAGTGAGGCTTATCATGAATTTTTTGAATTAAGAAATGTGTATAGCTTGTTAAATGCAAAACATTATATCTTGATATATAACAGTGTTCGAAATACTTTTTTGAGCCAGGTAGCACAGTGTGCTGCCTAGGACAAATACTAGGTAGCGCATCAGAATTTTAGGTTCGTTGCTGCAACCCCCACCCCCCTAATTTGTAGAATTCTATGCACGTGTCACAATACCATCATTCCTCTAATCATGGAGGTACAATACCTCCATGTTCTAATAAAGGACTTCCTTCAGGTTTACATGTAGCATGCATGGCCCTGATTTGTTTGAGAATACTTGGCAATGCACATTTGAGTTCAGTGGTACACAGTTTCAGTGGTATATATTTTCAGTGGTACATGTTTTCAGTGGTTCGTATTTTCAGGTTGCGCAGTGGCTACCTGAGTCAGGGAGCAACTAGCGCACGAGGAAATCAGGTTGCAATTGCTAGTGCGCTAGTGGATATTTCGAACACTGTATAAGAGCATTCATGACAAAGTGAAATTCATCTTCAATGTATTTCAGTTTCTGTGTCTCTCTGCCGATCAGGAAACATGACTGACAGCAGTCACACCAGTGACAGCGAGGGCAACATGTCCAGCTGGTCTATGGTGGACGATGATGAAGAGGACATTATGGTAAGATACGTTTATCAGTTGAATTACCACAATTTAGGAGCCTTACAGTGATAGGCTTAATGTACAGCATTCGGGCATAAACTGTTTCAAGACTTGTAACGTACAACCAATAAAAAAAAAATAGAGCAGCCCAAACTGGAAACCCCAAATTTCTCTTTGGCGAACGATTGTCGTTTTGTACTCTACTATACTGTACTCAACAGTCGCTAATGCCAGATGTCCACATTATGATATGACAATACATTTAATTTTTAGTAGGTCACCATATAGTGACCGCCACACCAAGGAGGACTGTTCAGTTACACTTTTATGTTAGATTGCTAACTTAAAGGTAAAAACAACTGAATATCCAATTTCTTTGGTTAATTTATCCCTTTGATACATGTAGTTGTTAAGAGTGTTCTGGTTTTTAACAGGTTTATTTATAGCCATGTATTAAATCAACTCATCATCTTTAATGTGATAAATTTTGAGACCCTGTTCTTTCTCGTCAACATATGTCTCTGACTGTCTGAGGACACAATTTCTAACCCCAACAGAACTTTACCACCTCTCAAAATGGCAGCGCACCAGAGTATGTTGCTATGGACACATTCAGCGAGGGAGAGGAAGCAAAGGAAGACGGTCAGTTTGTGTTTCAATATTTTCAATCAACTTTTTTGCAGTAAAAAATTATTTGAAAATAGATGGGAAAGGGAATCCCAGTTTTGAGAACGAGAGACCAGAAATGTCAAATTGGACTCAGGCTTAGGAAAAAAAATATTCCTGTTTCCTGTTTCAGTCTTGAAAAAATTAGAGTCGGTAGGGATCTTTTTTTTAGACTGTGGTGATCTGTTGTGATCCAACTTATATAAGACAGTTTAACAAATAAAACTTGCTTGAGGCCACTTATATTTTCAATGTCAATTATGGAAAACATATTGTACAATGATTTATCACTCCGGTGTCAGATCATGCAGCTAGAAAAGGGTGGTCAGCTCGAAAAATTATGTCCCTTGCAGGGGTCTACACAAAAAAGTTAGTGTCTGCAGTTTTTTCTAGGGTTGAAGTCAAGAAATAGGAAACACAACTTTTTTGCTAGGCCTCATGGTTTCTGTCTTCATTCCATGGTATTCCCAACAGAGGAGACATCGCCTCAGTCAGTAGAACCACCTACCATAGAAGAACCAGTACCAGAAGATACCGCTCCTACAGAAGACGCAAGTCCTACAGAAAATGCTGCTCCTACAGAAAATGGGATACCTACAGAAGATGTCACCCCTACAGAAGATGTACCCCCTACAGAAGGTGCAGCTGCTCTGGAGGACCGTGATCAGAGACCACCTGTACAAAAAATCCTGGTAGTGAGAGAGGGCAAGAGGCTGACCAGGGGGGACAGTGGGATTGTCCAGGACGCTGATGCAGTGGATCAGTGGGTAAGGTGTTCCTTCCAAAAGTAGTTTCATCTGGGTAGCATAGCATAAAGGGGGGCCTGCAAGGGGGGGGGGTCCCGACAACGCTCTACGCTGAATTCGGAAAACTCTTGATTACCCTTTACGATAAATTGCATGTGGCTACAACGCTCTACGTAGAATTAAAACGGCCGATTACGCTCTACGGAAAAGGGCTTGCGGGCCCCCATAAAGGTTTCTTTTTACACGACTGGTATAGTCTCTCAAAATGCAGGAAATTGCATTTTGAAGGCTTGAAAATCCCAAATTTCCCAGAAGATCCTCCTAGATTGCAAACCAGATCTGATGGACCTGGGCTGACGGAAAAAAAATTGAGCTGTTTAGAGCCCTGGCCCAAACTACTGGGATTATTACTGTAACATTAGCATATTTTTATACCAGTAGGTTATAATTTTCATTATAATAGGTTATGATTTTAACTGACAGAGATAATTTTCAGACTGGATTTGTGACATCATGATTCAAAATTAAATTTCCTGAATGCTTTAGAGCACAAAGTAGAATTTCTTTTGAAGACCTCTGACCTCTCAGCACAACTTGTCTTATTGTATGTATGCGTGTAATATAATATGTAGTATGTGTACCCTTACCTTGTTGTAGTTAAGTCATAGTTGTATATAAATGAATGTGTAGTTTGGGTGTAATGTTTGTATGTAAAACGACTCCAGGAAGACAAGTTTGTATTATAGGTTATTTCAGTCTGTACAAACTAATGGAGATTTACTGAATAAAGAAAGAAGAAAGGACTTACATGTAGTCATTGAGTACTAGTGGTTTTGTCTTTGTCTTGCAGGATGACCCACCGATCATGACTCTGGCTCCGACAGGCGAGGAGTCACCACGCTTGGTTTCCACGGATACAGACTCCGACTTTGTCACCATCGACCCAACGCCGTAGAAGACCTGGATCGCCTTGACGACGGTCAAACCCTAACACCTACTACTTTGCCTAACGGCTTTGTTACGCGCTTTTCCTGCATAGATGGTGTCTGTGGTGACCAAAACAACAAGCTGCTGGTAGGAGTGTGATGTTCACTTGTAGAAACTTTCTCAGACTCCCTTCTGTAATGTATTTGTGGCCTGACTCTACTAAAGCCATGTCTTTGTGTGATTACAAAACATGTATGTGTGATAATTCCTTTGCACACCACATCTTTTTTTGTGAAAGATCTGCTTCTGCTTTGAAGTTCTGTGTCATAGTACAATTCTGCTTGGGCCACACCAATTTAATTTGTTGGTTCTCAGATTCACCTGCTTCATTTTTTTCTGATTTGTAAAAAAAACCTTTAAGGCTCTATATCTGAATCAACTCCAAAATGCTCATATTTTGGGCCCCAACAGTTAAAGGAACTCCCTTCTCTTCGGAGTTGTTACAGTTTTTCCATCTATCAATGCATTGTTTGAATTACAAACTAGCCTGGTACTTGACTTCAAGGCTCCTATCACAGCATTTGGGCCTATCATAGGATGCCTAGGTCTGTTTGTATTTTTTTTGTGCCCTGTTGCTTATTTTTTTCTGAAAAAATCTGAGAACCAACAAATAGAATTGATGTGGCCCATATGATAATAATAGTGACCACTCATCATCATGATTCTCTCCCTGTCTGCAGAAGTGGACACAAACGCCAATGAGACTGAGTCTGTTGCCACCGACGGAGATGACTCAGACTTCGCGGTCCCTCCTGTGGAACTGCCGCGGAGGAAACACCGCACATGTGAGCGGGAAGACCGGAGGAAGGGCGACGGCTGGAACCTGACCATGATCCTGAACTGGACCATCCTGCTGGCTCTCATCATCTCCATCAGTATCGCTATTGGAGACGCACTGGGTCAGGCTTGTTTTACTGCATGGTTTCAATCTTTAGGCCATTAATGTAATTTGTTGGTTCTTGGATTTTTTCAGGAAAAAATTTGAAGCGACAGGGAAAAAAACAGGTCCAGGCATCCTATTATAGCCCCAAATGCTACAATAGGAGCCATGAAGTCAACACAAAAGGCTGGCTTCATATTTAAACACTGAATTTTGAACTCAAACTACTGCATTGATAGATGGAAAACTGTTGGGGGCAAATATGAGCATGTTTGACTTGATTCAGAACCAGAATGTTTTTTTTCCAAATCTGAAAAAAATGAAGAGGCGAATCCGAGAACCAACGAAGTAAATTAGTGTGGTCCTAGCATGATAAATCTGTATCAGATTCTGTATATCCTTTAAAACCCTAAGGCACTCTTCTTTGTAACACACAGCTTTGCAAGCACGTAACAGCACACTGAAGACCTGTTACGCCTAGTAGTAGTAGTAATACTAGTAGTAGTGGCAATTCTAGGATTTACATTTGCTTTACAGATGCTACAGTTAGTAGAAACTGTACCACAGCTGTAAATAACCTCATCTTTCACCCCGCAGGCTCCTCGCGAGAAAGCCACCTGGCAGCACAGCTGAAGAACAGGCAGGTGAAGCGGCTGAAGCTGATGCAGGATGAGCTCATGTCCTGTCTGTACAAACTGGACGTTTCCACCGACCTTGTGCAGCAGACAACCAAGGTTTGGTTCTGATTTGTTACTGATGTTGATGAAGGGTTTCTAACGGCTTACTGAACATTCAAAAAGGATGCAATTAAACCAGGAATCTTGTTGCTTCTTGTTGTATAGTACTACATGTATGGTGACAAATAGTAATAATGTTACCCTTGAAATAGTTTTTGAGGGATTGGTAATGGTACAAGCTTTTGACAGGTACATTAAATGGTTAACAGGAAAACTACGTATTAACCTTGCTTCATTTTTTTGTTCAATGTCATTACAGGAGTCCCATGTTGCTTTACTTGACCAGCTAGGAGAAGACTTAGTCAGACTAAGAAATCAGCTCAACGAATCTCGACAAAGATCACAAAAATGGAAAATTCAAGTGACCTCTCTAGAGACTGAGAATGAAGACTTGAAAACAAAACTTGCCTCTGAAGAACAGTCCACGGAAGAAACTAACCAGGCCCTTGTCGATCTCCAAGGTCAGATTGAAGCTCTGGAAAGTGAGCGAAGCGACCTAGCAGGCAAACTGACCTCCCTGGAAACAGAGAAAGAAGAGGCAAAACGGCAGGCCGCAGAGGACACACAGAATAAGGACACACAAAACACACAGCTGAGAGATCAGCTGAGAGATGCCACTCTGGAAAATGCGGACCTGAAGCAGAAAATGGCGGACTTGGTCACAGAACTGGAAGAACAACAGAAGGCAGAGCGAGAGCAAGAGGAGAGCCTACAGGAGAGGATCCGGGCCCTGCAGAACAAACTGGTGAATCTGGAACAACAGCTCAACGTAGAACGTACCCGCGCCAACAGGTGGCAGGAGCTGTACACCTCGCAACAGGAGAAGCAGAAGGATCCTGGAAACGGCACGGGGCCTGAGTTCTTCTCCTGCATCCATGCCTTCATCCCGTCCATCAACGTTTCCGACTACACCGAGAAGTTTGGAGAGGATGCTTTCCTCAACCTGACTCAGGAGCTGAGACAACAGTTTGAGCAGCTGAAGAACCACACACAGTCCGCAGACTTCTCCACCTACACAGAGCAGGTGAAGTCGGCCATCAAGGCTCTGAAGGACACAGTGGCAGACACCATCACAACGGTAACATCAGAAGAGTTTGCCGAGGCAACAAAGGCCACCGTGGAAGGCGTAGGTGAGACCCTGAGAGACACCCTCGAGACCGTGCACAGCTATTCTCAAGAGTTTCTGAACAGTCAGGACGACAACATCGGGTCGGTGAAAAAATCCATGAAGGACAGCTTGAAGAAGGCTAAGAAGACGGTGGAAGAGAACCTCAAGAAAGCCGGCAAGACGGTCCAGGAAAACCTGAAGGACGTGAAGAAGTCTGTGAAAGAATCCTGGAAGAAGATGCGACAAGTGCTGGACACGGGAGTGAAGGAGACTCGGGGATGGTGGCGGCAGAAGCAGAAGCAAGGACGGCAAGAGCATCACCGCGGACAAGATGAAGAGGTACGAGCCCCTCCCCCTATTCAGCAGGAAACAGCAGACCCGTCCTGCAGCTATGCAGAAAAACAGACGGCACCTTCACAGGGTAAGGAGGACATTCTGGAACAGGAGGAGGCAAGGAAAATGGAAGTCAAGATCATCCCTCCAGCCACCATCACTGAAGTAAAACCAGTCAAAGTCACAACAAGGAAACATGCACCGGAAGAGGACCTAGCAACAGTTCGACAGGTTAATTAGTTTATTTGTACTAAGTAAAAAATTCCTGTTTTCCAACTGACCCCAGAAAAAACTGCCGACCCTAGTCTTTTTTGTGTGCGGACCCCTGCAGGGGAAATTAATTTTTAGAGCTGATCAACCTTTTCTAGCTCCAGATCTGACACCTGAGTGTTGAAAATATAAGTGTCCTCGTGCAAGTTTTACCTTGTTTAAACTGTATTGTGTAAATTGGATCCCAAGAGATCGTCAAAGTCTAAAAAAAGTTTCCTACTTACCGACCCTAATTTTTTCAGGACTGAAACAGGAAACACAACACTTTCCTAAGACTAAGCACATAATAATATTAAGATAATTCATCAAACTGAAAAAGAATAGCATTTCTTTCTGAGTACACACCAGCATATCCGATTTGCAGCAAAAGGCTTATTTGTATGTAATCCATTGTAGGCAACAGTGCAGAAGAAAGAAGAGGTAGAAGAAGAGCAGAAGAAAGAGAAAGTGGCAGAGAAGATGGGCCCACACCTTCCCCGGAGAAGGGCAGAGGACGCTGACCGTCGGGAAGACGAGCCTCCACGGCATGGCAGGAGGGGTCGCAAGGGTGAACCAGGTGAGCTGTCATGCACAGAAATGTGGCAGTTCCTTTCAAACCCCACTTG